TAGGGGAGGCCCAAGACCGGTTCAGATAATCGTCACTAATGTTGGCCGTGAGCAATAATCGAACTCGGATTAGCCGTTTCTTATCTTAGCGTGCTAACCGCTCGGACACACTAATGCATTTCTGAACGCAACACCAACAACAACCGATCACCACTAAGTGGCGGTGATGTCACCACAGCACGTGACTCAGGCTAGCTTCACTTTGAGGCCACTTGACCCAGGTGCTTTGGGTTGGTTGACTGAGATGACTCTGGCATATGTGCCACCTGTGCTCGGCACTGTGACAACTTGCTGCGTTTTAGCCCACTGGTGCTCCACTCATTGTTGGGAGCGTCGCTCCTCCACCCTCTATTGTTGCTGGAGGGCGACTGCCTCCAACTACTCAGTAGCGTCCTTCACGAGTCTCCTCCATCGAGGCCGATTTTGACACCTCATCAGCAAGTCCACTCAGCTCCACATTCTCTTGTACCGCATCAGCTCATCTCTTTTCTCGCCCATGCCACACCCGTTTAACCCCCTCTATCCGGCCAAACAAAAGCCGCTTGGGCATGCGGTGGCTGGGCATGTGGGTGACATGATCCAGCCAACGCAACCTTACCTGCCGGAGGAGCTTAATGGGGAGAATGTGTCCAGATATTTCAAGGATCTGTGAACTCCTCGTGCAATCCAGCCTGGTTAAATCCAGAATGGATCATCGATAAGACAGCTTGAATGTTTCAAACTGGCACAGATGTTCCTGTAAAGGGGGTCCACATTTCACAAGCGTAGTGAAGGGAGGGGTATAACTGTGGCCGGGAAGACCCGAAGCTTCGTATGGAGCGATAGACCGGGTAACTTCCACACTGCGTTACGCAGCCGATGGAAAGATAATGCCGCTCGACTGTTCCAAAATTAGACTTCCGCTGCCAAAACAGAGCTGGTCATGAACACACTGCCCAGGTATGGGAACTCCTTCACTCTCTCCACAATCACCCCATCACTCACGGGGAGTTGAGGGCGTGGAGTGTTTGATGACATAAAATACCCAGGCAGGTGTTTTTTTTTTTGTGGGACTGATGGTAAGGCCCCACCTCTTAGTGGCACGTTCCAGGTTCAGCATCGGACTCTTCAACGCCTCCTCAGAGTGAGCGGCAATGACCGAGCCATCGGCATGCAGAACACGTCTGATCAGAAGGGAGCCAATGTCTTAGGCAGGCACCTGTGTCATTGTGGGTTCACGCGTTAGTGTGTGTGTGTTTGTGGGTTCACGTGCGTGCAAATGTACTTTGCGAGTGTGAGCGGTATGTAGCGGTTTGCGCGCTGCGCTACAAAACCCGGCAACCCGAATTCGATTCCTCCTCACGGCCAGCACCGGTGACGGCTATCTGAACTGGTCCTGGGCTGGCCTCCTCAAGGTCGACTCGCCTTCCAGTGAGTGTCTGGTAAAGTATGCAAACATCAGTGGGGGGAGACAAAGGCGGTTGGGTGTAATGCAGGCCATCCACCCCCTCGTGTGCCGTACCAACCTTGATTGGTGCTACTCACAAACAGCACTTGCCCCTACAGTCCTTTTTGGCCTATAAACGGAGGGAGCGGGGTGTCTCTGTGTGCGAGTGTGTGTGCGCCGGTGTGCAGTGTGTGTGTGCCAGTGTGCAGTGTGTGTGGTCTTGAGTGTGTGTGTGCCAGTGTGCAGTGTGTGTGCGTGTGCAGTGTGTATGCTCATGCATGTGAATGTGCGTGCCGTAGTGCCGTAGTGCCGTGTGTGGTCATGCGTGTGTGCACGAGTACGCGCCGGTATGCAGTGCTAAGTCGCGCGTGTGTGCGTATGTTTTGTGGTGTGTGCGCCGGTGTGCACGTGTGTGTGTGTGTGTGTGGGCGTGTGCACACCCTGCGCGCGTGGGGTAATTACCCGATTAGGCGCCCAGCCCAGACCTCCTCCCTTGCAGGTGAGTTGTGCGGCGGCGGCGGTGGCCGTGCCGGCATGGCGAGCCCTCATTAGATCTCGGCTCAGCCCTCCCTAAGCCGAAAACAGCTCCTTTATTAAAGGCCTTGTCTGTGCCGGGGTGGCGGGGCTCCCTGCACGGGGCGCTGGGTGCGCGTGGGCGCTGCCACGGAGGGAGGAGGTGTGTTGGCGCGTGTGTGTTTGGAATAACGATGAGATGGTGTGTGTGTGTGTGTGTGGACCACAGAGGATGCGTGTGGAATACAGAGGGTGTGTGTGGGTCGCAGAGGTGTGTGTGGGTCACAGGGTGTGTGTTGGTCGCAGAGGTGTGTGTGTGGGTCGCAGAGGTGTGTGTGTGGGTCGCAGAGGTGTGTGTGTAGGTCACAGGGTGTGTGTGTGGGTCACAGACGATGTGTGTGTGGGTCACAGACGATGTGTGTGTGGGTCACAGAGGGTGTGTGTGTGGGTCACAGACGATGTGTGTGTGGGTCACAGAGGGTGTGTGTGTAGGTCACAGACGATGTGTGTGTGGGTCACAGAGGGTGTGTGTGGGTCACAGACGATGTGTGTGTGGGTCACAGAGGGTGTGTGTGGGTCACAGACGATGTGTGTGTGGGTCACAGACGATGTGTGTGTGGGTCACAGACGGTGTGTGTGGGTCACAGAGGGTGTGTGTGGAATACAGAGTGTGTGGGTCACGATGTGTAGAATACAGAGGGTGTGTGTGGAATACAGAGGGTGTGTGGGTCACAGCGTTTGTGTGGGTCACAGCGTGTGTGTGGGTCACAGCGTGTGTGTGGGTCACAGCGTGTGTGTGGGTCACAGTGGGGGTGTGGGTCACAGTGGGTGTGTGTGTGTGTGAGAGCAGGTGGTGTGTTTTATTTTAGTGTTGGGATGTGGTATGTGTATGCAAGGTGATTATTGCTTGTAGGTGTTGTCATTTCCGCCCCCCCCCCTCCTACCTCATCCTGAAACCACGGGGAAAATGGGTGAGGTTCAGGACTGTGGCTCATACATTGGGCTACACAGTCTAGACCTCCCCAGAATCCCCAGCTAGCTTAGGGAAAGCGGCGGATCCACTCCCACCATCTACAATGTCCCCACGCCCGAGAATGAGGAGGCTTACCACAGCCTCCGCTCGGAGGGTCAGAGGGCCGTGCGGCGCTGCTAGGATGGGGTGGTGGTCACAGGTTGTTGATGGTAGACCCAGTGTCATCGGCTCACGGTCTAACAGTATGCTGTGTAATATGGTCGTTTACTGATGCATTTGTAATTGCTGCTCACTCTGAGCAGATGGAGGCTCTGCTGCCGAACATGCAGCGCGCCATGAAACAGGTTGGGCCTCCCCGTCAACCCCACCAAAAACAAAGCGCATGCCTCTTGTGTCATCAAACACTCCACCACCTTAGCTCTCGACGAGTAAAGAGGGGGTTGGGCGTGGAGAGGGTTGGTAGGAGTTCGCGTTCCTGGCCGCTTCGTCGCCACGATCGGTGTTGCAGCGGGGGTCTCGCTCCGAGTCGGTCGAGCGGCGTTCCGGCGCCTACGACTGGCGCCGCGTTGAATTTGCCTGGGCCCCAGTCGCTCCCCAACGATCGCGTCGTTCGTATGTGCAGGAACGGCTGCAGCGGTTTGATACGTTCAGGCTGACCTGCCTACGGTCCCTCCTGGGGTTGACCAGGCTCGATTGTGTGAGGAGCTCACGGATCCTTGAAAGATCCTGTGACGCAGTCCCATCGGCGAGCTCCTCCGGCACCCGAGGCTGCGTTGGCTGGGTCATGTGGCCCGCATGCCCAGCCCCACAGTATGCCCAAGTGAATTCTGTTTGGCCAGATAGAGGGGGCCAAATGGGTGTGGCACGGGCTAGACAAGAGATGGACTGATGCAGTACGAGAGGATGTGGAGCCGAGTGAACTTGCCGATGACCGGTACCAGCGGTGTCAAGATCGGCCTCTATGGAGGAGGCTCGTGAAGGAAGCTACTGGGCAGTTGGAGGCAGTTGCCCTCCAGCAACAATGATGGGCGGAGGAGCGACGCTCGCAACGAGTGGAGAACCAGGCAGCAAAAACACCGCAAGTTGGCACAGTGGGGGGAGCACAGGTGGTGCATCTGCCAGTCCTGTGCCCTCCTTGTTGGTGAACGGTGGCTGTTGTGCACGAAATACGAATCGTAACTCATTACATTTTCACGTTTATTACACACAAAGTGCTCGCCACAAATGACCCGCAGGACCTCGCTGATTTCGTCAAGAAGCTTAAACCATCATCACGCGAACCATCGAACAAAGACGGTGGTCACCGCTTCGCGCGGCGCTTTCGGATGCGCTTCTGCAGCCGTCTGGAACGCTCTTCCTTCAGATATTAGGTAGCCACTGGAGCTATGCCTGTTTCAATCTAGATTGAAAACTCATGTCTTTAGAACTGCTTTCCGTGTTTAGGTTGTTGTCCTTCCCACCCGCACGGTTGGCGATGTACGGTGAGAAAGAAGTTCAACATTCTTACCTACATTGCAGGAATAATATTCACTTATTAAGTGGCTCCCATGAATTCTCAAGGCCCCACGAATGAAACATGACAAAGATTATAGAGGAGGAGCCGGGTAGCAGCGTTAAGGGGCCAGAGAAGAACATAGATTAAATAATAAAGTAGCAATATTTATTTATATATGAACACTGAGAGCCTGATCTCCCATGGTGGGTGGAGAGTTCCACCCCCGGGGGACCAGGTGGTGTGTATCACCACAGTGGATGTCGGTGTGTGTGTGTGTGGAGTGGTGGCGCTGCGGTTAGCTCGCTACGCTCCAACCCGGCGACCCGAGTTTGATCCTCGCCGACGGCCACCAGCACCGGTGACGATTGTCTGAGCTGGAGCTGGGCCTCCCCTAGGTCGACTCGGCCTCAAATGAGCACCCGGTGCGGTGTGTAAACATCGCCACTCGGGGAGACAAAGGCGGTCGTGCGTGGTGTTGACCACTCACCCCCTCGTGTGTCGGCCTTCGCAGACACTTGCCAACAGCACTTGCCCCAAGCGAGTATTAAGGCTGTGCTGGGGGGGGGGGGGTGGGAATCTTTTGTCTTTTTTAGCAGGAGGAATATTCTACGACAGCGTGGTGCACGACGTGGACACGGTGTGTTGGCTCGTGGGGGGTGGCGCTCCCGAAAACATCTACGCCACTGGCAGCGCCTTCACACAAGGTGACACGCGCGCCGCAAACGAACACGCACCGCACTCGCGCGTGCACGCACACACGTGTACCGCACTCGGGTACGCACGCACACACGTGTACCGCACACACACACACACACGTGTACTGCACTCGGGTACGCACGCACACACGTGTACCGCACTCGGGTACGCACGCACACACGTGTACCGCACACACACACACGTGTACCGCACTCAGCGTACATACTCGCTGACACACACCGCAAAAAACACACATCAAGACTGTTGGGACGAGTGCTGTTCGGGAGCACCTATGAAGGCCGACAGCACACGAGGGGGTGGGTGGCCAACACCACGCCCGGCCGGTTCATTTAATCGTCGCTGGTGTTGGCCACGAGCGGGAATCGAACTCGGTTCTCCGGGTTCGTAGCGCCGCGCGCCAACCGCTACGCTACCGCTCCCCACGCACCGCACTCGCACTCGGAATCAGAATCTTTATTTGTCCGGGAGAAATCCGATGAGCTATGGAAACCCGGTTGCTCAGATGTCCAGGCGGGGCACGGGGTCAGAATGTTACAACAACAAACAGCACGAAAAACACGATAGGAGTGCAAAGTTAAAGAAAGGTAAACAAATCACGCACACACACGTACACTGACACACACACACACGTACACCGACACGTACACACGTACACTGACACGCACACACGTACACTGACACACACACACGTACACTGACACGCACACACGTACACTGACACGCACACACGTACACTGACGCACACACACGTACACTGACACACACGTACACTGACGCGCACACACGTACACTGACACGCACACACACGTACACTGACACGCACACACACGTACACTGACGCACACACATACACTGACACACACACGTACACTGACACACTCAAACATACGCGCACACAGACGCACACACGTGCTGAAAGATAGATGTCATATTTTTGCGTGCGCGCGTCATTATCAGCCGCTCCCCACTCGTTGAGGGCCGCTGCCCCTGCGACCGCAAACACGAGCCGTCTGGTTGCTTGAAGAAGCAACGAAAACTCCCAAGGTGCTCAGTGTCTCTCCCTCCTCTGCCCCGTTGCCTGCGTGGGTGAACAACGCCATCGGCAGTACCCTGACTCACACTCGCCCATGTGGTTTTATCTGGGCCATCCACCATCCCCGCACCACACCCAACCACCCTGCCATCACCCCAGATAATAGTCGTCAGGGGTCATGTTCACTTTCATGTTTCAAGTCGATTTGGTTGAACCAGCTGAGAGCTCCAAAGAGGCCAGCAAATAGGGTGGCTCATTTTTCCGGAGCGACCTGGGGCACGAGTCTGCCAGGAGGGGGGCAGGCGTCGATTGTTGCTGCTGCTGCTGCTACTACTGTGTGTGTGTGATCCCAATCGAGTGATTAACAAGTAATAGAAGGGGCTCGCTCAACAGAGCTTGGTCAAACAGTTTGTTAAAGGCCGCACAGAGGGGATCTTTGTAGTTATTTTAGAAAACGTGTGAGTGTGTGTGTACTTCTGTGTGGGGAGCGGTAGCGCAGCGGTTAGCACGTTGCGCTACGAACACGGCCACCCGGGGTTCGATTTCCGCTTTTGTCAAACGCCATAGACGATTATCTGAACCGGTCCTTGGCCTCCCTTCAGTAAACTCAGCCTCAAATGAGTACCTGGTGCCGGTGTGTAGTGAACATCCCCACTTGGGAGACAAAGGCGACCGGGCACGGTGCTGGCCGCCCACCCGCCTGGCGTGCCGTGCCGGCCTTCACAGGTGCTACTCGCTAACGGGCACTTGCCCCAACAGTCTGCTGAGGCTACGCGGGGGATCTTTGTCTTTGTCCGCTAATCCACGTGTTCCTCCGTGTGCCTGCCTCTCGCTGTAATCCCAAGCAAGCGGCAGTCACAGGGGGAAAGGAAAAAAAAAACCTGTACCCTTCACATCCTGTCGAGAAAAAAAACACAAAGAGTACCTTGACATCCTGTCAAACAGACGGTGGTGGCGCTTGAAGACCCCGGCGAGTAAAACGGCAGCCTGCTCGCAAAAGTTAAACTTCAAAAGGAGGAAACGAAACTGCGGATTTTGAAACCTCCAGGTGAACGGCGACGATCGACTCCAGCCGTCGTCCTGCGGCGGGTATGACAACCGCAGCATCGTTCCGGCTCGGGGGGGGGAGGGGGGGGACTAGGGAGAGAGAGGCACACGCGGACCAGGGCGAGGGGCTCTCCCGTTTCCTCCCCACGCAGAGTCCACATTTCTCATTCGGTAAAAATACGCAGCAAGACGTTCCCAATTGCAGCAGGACCCTCCTGAAAAAGGAGTCTTGAGACTCCGGTGAAGCTTTCCAGACGTAAAGACCCCATAGACTGGCACAGAGACCCATAGACTCACACAGAGAACCATAGACTCGCACAGAGGCTCATCGGCGATCACACTGAGATTCATAGACTGGCACATAGACCCATAGACTCGCACAGAGGCTCATAGGCGATCGCACTGAGATTCATAGACTGGCACATAGACCCATAGACTCGCACAGAGGCTCATAGGCGATCGCACTGAGATTCATAGACTGGCACAGAGACCCATACACTCGCACAGAGGCTCAAAGGCGATCACACTGAGATCCATAGACTGGCACAGAGACCTTTAGACTCGCACAGAGGCTCATAGGCGCTTGCACTGAGATTCATAGACTGGCACAGAGACCCATAGACTCGCACAGAGGCTCATAGGCGCTTGCATTGAGATCCATAAACTGGCATAGAGACCCATAGACTCGCACAGAGGCTCATAGGCGATCACACTGAGATTCATAGACTGGCACAGAGACCCATAGACTCGCACAGAGGCTCATAGGCGCTTGCATTGAGATCCATAAACTGGCATAGAGACCCATAGACTCGCACAGAGGCTCATAGGCGATCACACTGAGATTCATAGACTGGCACAGAGACCCATAGACTCTCACAGAGGCTCATAGGCGATCTCACTGAGATTCATCGACTGGCACATAGACCCATAGACTCGCACAGAGGCTCATAGGCGATCACACTGAGATTCATAGACTGGCACAGAGAACCATAGACTCGCACAGAGGCTCATAGGCGATCACACTGAGATTCATAGACTGGCACATAGACCCATAGACTCGCACAGAGGCTCATAGGCGATCACACTGAGATTCATAGACTGGCACAGAGACCCATTGACTCGCACATAGGCTCATAGGCGCTTGCATTGAGATCCATAGACTGGCACAGAGACCTTTAGACTCACACAGAGGCTCATAGGCGATCACACTGAGATTCATAGACTGGCACAGAGACCCATAGACTCGCACAGAGGCTCATAGGCGCTTGCATTGAGATCCATAAACTGGCATAGAGACCCATAGACTCGCACAGAGGCTCATAGGCGATCACACTGAGATTCATAGACTGGCACAGAGACCCATAGACTCGCACAGAGGCTCATAGGCGATCACACTGAGATTCATCGACTGGCACATAGACCCATAGACTCGCACAGAGGCTCATAGGCGATCACACTGAGATTCATAGACTGGCACAGAGAACCATAGACTCGCACAGAGGCTCATAGGCGATCACACTGAGATTCATAGACTGGCACATAGACCCATAGACTCGCACAGAGGCTCATAGGCGATCACACTGAGATTCATAGACTGGCACAGAGACCCATTGACTCGCACATAGGCTCATAGGCGCTTGCATTGAGATCCATAGACTGGCACAGAGACCTTTAGACTCACACAGAGGCTCATAGGCGATCACACTGAGATTCATAGACTGGTACAGAGACCCATAGACTCGCACAGAGGCTCATAGGCGCTTGCATTGAGATCCATCGACTGGCACAGAGACCCATAGACTCGCACAGAGGCTCATAGGCGCTCACACTGAGATTCATAGACTGGCATAGAGACCCATAGACTCGCACAGAGGCTCATAGGCGCTCGCACTGAGATTCATAGACTGGCACAGAAACCCATAGACTCGCACAGAGGCTCATCGGCGCTCGCACTGAGATCTGTGGACTTGCACAGAGACCCATAGACTCGCACAGAGGCTCATAGGTGCTTGCATTGAGATCCATAGACTGGCACAGTGACCCATAGACTCGCACAGAGGCTCATAGGCGCTTGCATTGAGATCCATAGACTCGCACAGAGGCTCATAGACGCTCACACTGAGATTCATAGACTGGCACAGAGACCCATAGACTCGCACAGAGGCTCATAGGCGCTTGCATTGAGATCCATAGACTGGCACAGAGATCCATAGACTCGCACAGAGGCTCATAGGCGATCACACTGAGATTCATAGACTGACACAGAGACCCATAGACTCGCACAGAGGCTCATAGGCGCTTGCATTGAGACCCATAGACTCGCACAGAGGCTCATAGACTCGCACAGAGGCTCATAGGCGATCACACTGAGATTCATAGACTGGCACAGAGACCCATAGACTCGCACAGAGGCTCATAGGCGATCACACTGAGATTCATAGACTTGCACAGAGACTCATGGACTCGCACAGAGGCTCATCGGTGCTTGCATTGAGATCCATAGACTGACACAGAGACCCATAAACTTACACGAAGCCACACACTCATTGATGCAATTGGCCAAACATCGCAATGTAGCAGGACTCTCGTGAAAACGAGTCTTGAGTCTCCCACTGGCGTGGTGTGCGTGACGGGATCACGTGACTGCTGATGTAGGTCACGTGACTAGGGACACCAACATAACAAAAACATCGATTCTCGGATGGAATCGTGAGAGTGGGGATCGTTACGGATCCTCAAACCGCCCCGTGGTGAATTCTTACTCTACTGGGTGCGTTCACCGTGAACACGCGAATGCTTATGTGTGCACGTGCGTGTGTGTGTATGTATGTGCGCGTGTGTGTGTGTGTGTATGTATGCGTGTGTACGAATGTATATTTATATATGTATAAATATGCATGCATGCAC